GAGGGTGTCTCAGGGCTTTCCCAGTTACTCAGTAGGCCACTTCTAGGTGGGATTCCTGTTCAGTTTGCTTCAAGTTGGGAAGCCTCTGAGACACCTCTGTGAACAGGTGAAGATGAATGTTTCCAGCAGAAGGGTCAATGTTGTGTCTTGTCTACAAGTCCAGGCTTTCATAAGGGGAGCATTCAGGGTGTTTGGTGCCAAGGCCTTTAGACAACAACGGAGAAAATTTGGGTACAGCAAGCAATCCCAGGGAACTATCCTGCTGGTATCGCCTGAAGTTACTGTACTCCCTCTCAACATTTACAAAAGACCTTACAACATCTGACCTTACAACATATTTCCTTGCCTTCTCTTATTTGATTTTTACAACAACCCATTATGGAGGATGAGCTGCTTGATTTTAAAGATGAAAAAACTGAAGCCCAAAGAGTTGACTGATTTGTAGGGGGTAGTGATCAAGTTTCTTGGAGGATCTAAGTCTTTGATAACTTTCTGGCCAAGCTGAAGGTCACTATTCAGTGTTGATCTCTACAACATGATCTACAGCAAGTTCATTACGGGAATGGATTTTTTCAAGTCATTGAAAACTGTAGGAACCATAAGACCACCAGTACACATGAGTATGGAATTTCCATATGTGGATATTTTCTGCCCATCACTCGGAGGGTACATCTGACTATAACTTATGGGCCATAGCCATTGGTAAGAGAAATTATTTGGTTGGAAGATGACAAAACCATTGTCTACAGCATGGGTCAACAAACATATTCTGTAAAGAAAGCCAGATAGTAAATATTTTAGGCTCTGTCACTACTACTCAGCTCTTCTGATGGAGTGTGAAAGCAGCCACAGACAATATGTAAGTTATGGGCATGGATGTGTTCCAATAAAATGTTATTTACAAAAACAAGTGGCAGGCTGGATTTGGCTCTCAGGCGGTAGCTTTCCAAACCCCAACGTAGATTCATTAAGACATTTCTGCTATTGAGACCCAAGACTCAATTCTGATTGTTTGATATATGAGATTGATAGGCACTCCCCAAATCAGAACAAATTAAGTGGATGAAAGCAGCCATCTATTGAAATGATTAAGATGTTTTCTCTAAATGATTGGCTGAGCCAATTAAGATTGAAAAATTAATGGCCCAAAGACAATAAACATCCAGTCAGTTTTATTAAACCTTGTTTGAAGAAAATTCAGGAACTTGAAAGCAAGAATTTGTTAGTATTTATTCAACATCATGTGAGTGTGTGTGTGTGTGTGTGTGTGTGTGTGTGGGTGTGTGTGTGAGAGAGAGAGAGAGAGAGAGAGAGAGAATTCAAACTTTTCAATAATTCATTAAGACCTGCTTTAGTGGGTCTGGATGGAATGACTCCAAAGATAGTCAGCCTCCCAATTTCCATCTTGTCAGTCTTCCTTTGTGTGTTCTGTCTCCCCTGGTTTGTTCTTGTAGAGGAGAACTATCCTGGATTATGCTCATAAATATTCACGTAACTGGAAAAAAATTAATTCCCGCTCTAAAAAATAAAATGATGTCTGGTTTATATATTGATCTTTTGGTATATGAGTCTGATTAGTATAAGTTGGTCCCTGAAAACCTTTTAGAGGTCAGGGAAAATAATTTCTTGTCTCCCAGTGATGAAGACCAACCTACACCAGGGTGGTCCCACAGCATGATGTCCTTGGAAGCCTTGTTTGGAGGTTGAATGAGATTGTGGCATCTCCATCATGTCTTTTTCTAACTACAACATAATTATATTTCTTTTAACCTAAGCAGGACGTATGTCCAATGCCACTTATCTCAAGTAGCATGTGTAAGTTGCAAGGTATAAAAGGCAAGTAACAGAAATTGTATCCTAGAAAGTTGATGTAGGGTATTGAAATTACTCAGTGACCAGTGCCTTTAAAGATCCTAGAGCTGGAAATGTTTGCTTTAACTATCATATAGTCCAGTGGAGACAAAAACAAACTTAAGAGTACTTGAACATGTTATTTGATTGCAAAGGTATTGTAGTCAGGATAGGTTAGGCTTATGCTATGCTAACAATCCCCAAATTTCAGTGGCTTAATATAGAAAGGTTTATCCCTTCCTTTACAGAGTCTCCTCAGTCGTGGTAAATGTGGATGGAGGGTAGGCTCTGCTCCATTTATTCACTCAGGGGCCCAGGCTAATGAAGACTCCACCACCTGGAATGTTAACACTTGCTGTAACAAGGGAGAAAAGAACCTGGAGAATCATGTAGGGGCTTTTAAAACATTAGTTCCTCTAAAATGCCATTAACCAGAATTTTATTTTTTTTTTAATTTTTTTTTTCCAACGTTTATTTTATTTTTGGGACAGAGAGAGACAGAGCATGAACGGGCGAGGGGCAGAGAGAGAGGGAGACACAGAATCGGAAACAGGCTCCAGGCTCTGAGCCATCAGCCCAGAGCCCGACGCGGGGCTCGAACTCACGGACCGCGAGATCGTGACCTGGTTGAAGTCGGACGCTCAACCGACTGCGCCACCCAGGCGCCCAGCCATTAACCAGAATTTTAGTTAGAAAGCCCACCTATTCAAGGGAGCTTGGGAATGTAGTCATTTGTATGTCCATCACAGACATGCCATTAGCATGGGTAGCCAGGAAGACATCTCAGATGGGGTTGGCAGCAGATGGAAGACTGAGAGAGAGCACTAGCTTGAAAAGAGGGAAAACAGCATGTCTGCTTCTGGATATGTCACCTAGTTCTCTGTCTGAGCCATCCCAAAGTTCTACTAACATCAGGGTGCCATTTTCCAAATGAATAGATAGAAAACTCTCTTATTAAGGTTCTATTAAGACTAGCCAGGGAGCCACCACACAGAGGCTATTTATATCTAATTATTTCATAAACGGAATGTCTCTTCTCTCATGACTATCTCTACTAATAATTCTAACAGCCAAGTTCCTGAACACATCCTACTGGAAGGGAGATGAGGGTGTCATATTCTCAAACTCCTTCCCCTTGTGGTTAATTCTCTTGAGTTTTAGGAACACCACTTAACCACTAGTTATTTAAGGTAAATGACATAACCCAGCTTTAATTGCCCCAGTCTCTTGCCTTAACTGAAAACATAGGTGTTCCCTGTGCCCATATGCCAAATAAGGAAACCAGGAGATGAAGGGGTCAGGAGAGGAGAAGGAGCAGTGCAGAAGTGGCCTGCATGAGTCCAGAAATGACATGCCAGGGGATACTCTTCTCAAGCTTTCATCAAACCACTGGAAAGTTAGGTTCAGCTGGATTCATTTGAAGAGGATAGCATGGGATGAACAGGGAAGAAATTGTGGGGGATGAAGATTTCTTTAGGCCCTCAAATTTTGAGGTGAGAAAAGAATTCACTAGTGGGTTGTGATGCAGTGAATTGAATCACATTTTTTTTTTTTTTTTCCAAAAAGCAAGCTTGAAAAAATCTTGGCCAACCTGGTACAAGTTCTCTGGAGTGAGAATCAGAATTGTCTGCCATCAGGCCAAACTGGCCGGGCCCTTGGGCACCCCACCCTCAGTTGCTATATGTGGTTTGCTTTGGGAAGGGCATGACCTCATGCAAGCAATCCTTGCAGCTGAGCATCGACTTATTCCTTGAAGGGGCTCTAGGCAGCACATCTCCATGTCTAGCACAAGTTTTGCACCCATTTCACTCTCCTTGTTTTGATTTCTACCTTGAGAGGAACTTCAGAGATCTATCCAGATTGTAGAGATAGACAAAAAACTCAAGCAAATATATCTGGCTTGGATAGAAAGCCTGGAGGGTAATCAGCTTAGTTGGTGACCCATTTCCCCCCTCACTGGTTAACTGCTAAGCGGATTTTCTTCCTTGAGGCCTTTTGTAGGGTATGATGTATATCATGAGTCTTAAGGGAACTCATGGAATTTCAATATTCACCAGGAAATACCCCAAGTAATAGGGAAGTAGACTTTTCTGCTTTTCAAGAGTCTGTTGGTGTGGGAAGGGAATCAGTATATCTACTGTATGTTAGGTACTTTATTCTATATAACCTCAAATTTTCCTAGAAATGTTATGACATGTTTATTAATTTCCCTATTTTTCAGAGGAGAAACTGAGATTCATGGAGCTTAGTGACTTTCCAAAGATCTCAAGACAAGGAATCATAAGCTAGAGAGAAGACCCCACAGGGTCTATGAAGTTTTGTCCACCAGTGAATTCCTGACACCTAGAAATTGTGTGGTTTAGAGCACATGGCCAATATTTGTTGAATGATTACAGAGTGACGAAGTACCCCAAATCACATATATCTCACCTTAAAATGTAAGCCTTTATCATGTGACATACACAGCATTCAGGATCCAGGATAAGAAACACACTTTGGTTTAATCAGAAAACACAATCTTGAAATATACCCGCAGGTATGTAAGAGAATAAAATATGTTTAAAAGGTTATAAAAAAAAAATAAAAAAAAAAAGAAAACACAATCTTGTGGTTTAACCTCTGCATCATGATGCTTCTCTGACTCTGGTCATCCAAGTGGCAAGAACAGCTGCCTTAATACAGTAGAGGAATGAATCCATCACTCCAGGTGTGGAGAGAAGCCAGAGATGGAGTGGTCACATCTTTGTTACCCACCATGCATTCACTTCTAGAGAGTTGTTGAAAATTCTAGCTTTCAGGAGCCAATTGTGATGAAGTATTGGATGGATTCTGGCCAAATAACTTGAACCATAGTGCTCAGGATAGTATTACTTGCTGGTTTCTTGGATCCTTTTTTTGTAAGAAACTGAGGGAAGACAGTATCAGTGCTGAGTAGGACAACTGGCTTAGAGTTTGCTTTCTAGACTTGAGAACTAGAAAAAGGATAAATTTTGTGACCTTAGTTAAGACACATAGCTCTCTCTTCATGAGTTCTTATTGAGCTTGTGATCTGGGCCATAACAGACCTCAGAGCATCCAGGGACTTTGCCACTGCTGTGCTGACCTACATCACCATGGATTACCAATAATAGGATTTGCCACTCGGAAGCTTGGACTATACTTACTCAAAACTTGCAAGGTAGTTTCTTACAGAGGAATATGGCTTCAGTTTCTCACTATTGCCTGCTAGTTCTGGTCTTTCTGGATTCACATGCAGCTCAGCCATCCTGTCCACCAGGATGTACCTGCTCAGAGGACAGTTTCGGCAGGTGCGCTGTGCTAACAAGATGCCAGAAGGTTGTAAGGGATGGGTTTTATTTGGGGGAAGTTGTGGAGTGGGAACAGGCCTAGATTTGGCAGGAAATCAGCAAATGTCTAGTTGGTGCTGAACTTTGGAGAATTGTGCACTTTTACCAAAATGGGTCTCTTTTATTTCAAGTGAATAGCATATATATTTTTTCTTCTAATTCATACATCTAATGCCAGAATAAACCTGATCTCACTTCCCTGATGTTCATCTTAAAGATTTTGTGGTTTCTTGTACAGGGCTCTGCAGTGCATGTCTACCTCTTTGGGAATGATCCCAAGGAAACTTCCTGAAGAGTTAAAGCGGTTGAGAATTGAAAATTCACCCTTATTCGAACTGCCCCAAGGGTCCTTCATCAACATGAGCACGTTGGAATACCTTTGGCTTAATTTTAACAACATCACTGTGATACACCTAGGAGCCCTGGAGCACCTGTCAGAACTGAAAGAGCTGAGACTGGAGGGGAACAAACTTCGTTCAGTGCCATGGACAGCATTCCAAGCCACCCCTCTTCTGAGGGTCTTGGATCTCAAACACAACAGGATTGACGTGCTCCCTGAGCTGGCTCTTCAGTTCTTGGTCAGTCTGACCTACCTTGACCTATCCTCCAATAGGCTTACAGTTGTATCCAAGGGCGTCTTCTCGAACTGGCTGGCCTACCAGAAACCCCATCAGCCTGGCTGCGGAGCCAGGATTCACTCCAGTTTGGTGCTGGCACTGCACGACAACCCTTGGCTATGTGACTGTCGCCTGAGGGGACTTGTTCAATTTGTAAAGTCCAACAGCATCCCGGTCATCCTGGTGAATTCCTACCTGGTGTGCCAACACCCTCTCTCCAAAGCAGGGCAGCTTTTTCATGAAACTGAGCTCAGTGTTTGCATGAAACCACAGATCTCAACCTCCAATGTCAGTGTCACCATCCAGGTGGGACAGAATGTGACCCTGAGATGCCTGGCACAGGCCAGTCCCTCACCAACCATTGTATGGACTTATCCTCTGAGCATGTGGAGAGAATTTGATGGTAAGCCACATGGACCCTCTCAATGTGTCTTGGGGAAGACTGAGGTCTACAGCAACCCTATCCTAAGTAGAGAGGTTCTAAACTGGGTCAATCATGAAATAAAGGTGTGGGGAAGATTGGGATAGCCTTAAATTATACTCACCACAACAGGAAAGTTTCCAAGATATAGTTCCACTATTGGCATGATTTTAAGTGATTGCATACAGATCCCTATAGGATATACATGTATATATGTAAATATAATGTATTGGAGCTGGCTTAACATATTATATAAATATTATAAAATTATACATGAACAAATATATTCTCTGAGAGTCTTCTAGATGCAAAATATGATACTATGTATTTTTAAATCATAGAATTTCTGACTAGGACTCATTCTAGAGACCATTACTTATTTCTTAAATTTGCTGGAGCAGACTTATCTGGGGTATTTGTTTGAAATAAGATTTCCAGGCTCCTTCCCTGGAGATTCAGATTTACTGTGTCCAGGGGAGGACCTAAGAATAATGTAAATTAACAAGAGTTCCCTCTTCTCCCCTCTTTCTTTCCCCAACTAATTCTTACCATTGGGCAAGGTTGGAAATTCCTACATATAGACTGAATTTTACATTTCCCACCACTGTGTTGTTCAGACCTTATCGGCTTAAAGTTGTACTACTGGGACCCTGGATGAGGAAGTGACCTCCATGGGCCTCACAACTGGGATTCAAACATGCCTCTCATTTTCTGAAATTCTATGGTCTGCTTTCATACATTAGATGGAATCACCTTTAATGCTACCCTGCAGCACTGGGACATATCACAGGCCAGAGGTGGCTTCCCTAGGGATATCCTGAAGTCTAGAAGACAACTAGAAATATCTGAGTAAAACTTGAGAAGTATAGTCAGTTATCCAGATATTTGTTGTGCATAGTGAAAAACCACTGGAAGATTAAAAAATACCTAACTAACTGAACTGTTGATTTTTTCCCATCATTTTGATCACATCTTATTGGCTTGAGGTTAAATACCAATGAAGGAGAAATGTAGGATTTATTGTTGTAGCCTTTTTAAGAGCCGTGAGATGCATGCATGTCTTTTTTAATGCTTTGAAGTCAGTTTCTTTGGTACCATATTATATGTATCCTCTCAGTAATAACAACAGCTAGCACTAAGCACTTAGTATCAAACCTACATAAAGGATACTATTATCATCCCATTTTACTGATGAGAAAATTGAAGCCAAGAGAATCTTAGCAACTTGTCCAGGACTATATACTTATTAAGGGATAGAACCCAGGCATTTGGCTCCAGACTCTGAGCCTCTCTATACCTGGCAGGCAAAAAAAGACCCTTCTTGAAGCTCACAGTATCACACGGTGGCGAGAGATCTCCCAGAAACCATGATGTTGGCTCAGTGAGGCTTCTGGTAGTTTGGTGGGAGCAGCTAGTGAAGTTGACAATGTGGTCTCCGTAGGCAGAAGAGCAAGGTTCCAGATCAGTCACTGCCTCTGATCATTTCTCACAAGGGGCAAGTTGCTTAATCACTCCAATCCTCAACTTGTTATGTGTAAAAATGGGGTACTTACCTTACAGGGGTGCTGAGAGGCAAACACCTGGCACCAAACATATGCTTAATAAATCGTCACCTTCAGCTCAGAAAAATAATAATAATTAGCATTGCTGAATGCTGTCCAGCTTTCTGTCAGAGAAATATCTATTGGAACTGTTTTGCTCTCTCCCCACCCAGTGTTGACCTCATCTACTGCAGAAGATACTGCTCTGTCGGAGCTGGTCATACCTGCTGCCCACCTGGTGGACAGGGGTAATTACACCTGTGTGGCCTCCAACTCCATCGGCAGGAGCACCCTTGTCATCTCCCTCCAAGTCCAGCCTGCCCAGACCCTGTCTGTGCCCCATTCTGCCTTTTTCCCCTCGGATGGCAATGCCTATGTTGACCTGAGGGTCGTCAAGCAGACAGTGCATGGGATTCTGCTGGAGTGGTTTGCGGTGGTTGACACCCCTGAGGAGAAATGGTTCACCCTCTACATTGCATCAGATGAAACACTCAAGAAGGAGGTGGTCCACATCGGCCCCGGGATCAACACGTACGCCGTGGATGACCTCCTTCCCAGCACAAAGTATGAGGCATGCCTCAGCCTGGGGGGCCAGCCCCCACGTAGGGGCCGGTGTGTGGTCTTTGTGACGGGCAGAGACCATGGCGAGCTGGAGGGACGGGAGCGCCTCCTGCACATCACAGTGGTCCTGTGCGCTGTGTTGCTGGCGGTGCCTGTGGGCGCCTACGTCTGGGCAGCCCAGGCCCCCTGCAGCTGCAGGGAGTGGGGGCTGCACTGCTGTCCTCACCGCAGGAAGGCTCCCAGGTGCCCCCGTGCTGTGCCACAGCACAGGGACTGCTCCTATAGAGAGCACATAGCTGTCTGTGAGGACCGCCTGGGGCACAGAGACGATGAAGGGGATGAAGAGAAAGATGGAGAGGAAGACAGGGGCTGAACAGCTCAGGCTGGGGGCAGGGGGTGGGGGGAAGCATGGTCCTTTAATCCGTAAACCCACCCTCTGTGGCAACTCTACTTGGCTTGACCCATTCATTCAATAGTATTTATTGAGCACCTACTCTGTTCCAGGCACCGAACTTGACACAATGATCAGGTAGACACAATTCTTCACAGAAGGGATGGCAATGGAGCTTTGTCCTGTCCAAACAGTTATCTTATTATACATGGTGACTGGAAATCAATAAATGTTACTCTTTCCATATATATAGCTCTGTAACATTTACACATAACATTTCACATGTGTTATCCTACTGGAGAAAGGTAGAATTCTACCCCTCCTTTTTTTTACAGGTGAAAAAGCTGAAGCCCAGAAAGTTACTTGTGTACCATCACCCATCTAGCTGCTGGTGGAGGCACCCCCTGACGGGAGCTCGAATGCCATTGTTTCCTCTAAATGTCTGTTCTGCAATATTCTTGTGTCTTCCATTGTTCAGAAAGTATTATTCTTCCTCTTTTTTTTTCTTTTTTTTTTTTTAATTTTTTTTTCAACGTTTATTTATTTTTGGGACAGAGAGAGACGGAGCATGAACGGGGGAGGGGCAGAGAGAGAGAGAAACACAGAATCGGAAACAGGCTCCAGGCTCTGAGCCATCCGCCCAGAGCCCGACGCGGGGCTCGAACTCACGGACCGCAAGATCGTGACCTGGCTGAAGTCGGACGCTTAACCGACTGCGCCACCCAGGCGCCCCTAGAAAGTATTATTCTTCCTCTTACTGGAAAACTCCCAATGAGATCACATAGGTTTGATATTCCAAAGATCTGCCCTTTGGGGCAGTGAGAGCCCGGTGGGTGATGTGACTCTCTATTTGCGGGTGCCTGTGCTCCTGTGACCAGTCCTTTGGTGTTCGTGAGAGCCTGGGGCCATCAGCACTGAGGAACAGGAAACTGGCTGTAGCCCAGGGCTCATGCTCCAGTGATTGTTAGAAAGTAGAGTTGTATTCCCAGAAGGAATAGAACCTATGTAAAAATCATATGACTATATATTATTATTATTGTCATCATTTACAAAGGGAGGCTACAGAATCCCGATTTGTACCTAGTCTGTGACATCCTGAGTTTCAGGCTTGTTGTTTTAGCCCCGTGTCCCTAGCATCTCAGCGCTAAGCACAACAAATGTTTGCTACATGAGTGATGACATAACCCCCATTCCCTTCCCCTATTGTTTCAAGCTCTCCTGTTAAAGCCCTGAGAGCTGATTGTCTCCTCTTATCTGGGTGTACGTGGGGTAGAGGGTTCCCCGTGAACCCCAGAGATAGCTCATTGTCCCTCCGGGCAGCCCTGCTGTTGCTAATCTTTCCCAGGGTTTGAACCCACATCTGTCTTTTGCAGCTTTTCCACTAGCCACAGGAAAATCCCCTGGAGCCTGTTGAGTATAAACTGGCCTCCCTGTGACATCCCTAGAAATATTTCCTCCCTCCTTCCCACCTTCCCTACCAATTCTTACTCTTTCTTCCAGGTCCATTTCAAGTATCACTTCCTCCAAGCCTTCAAAAAACATAACTACAAAGACATTATCACACCTAAGAACATATATTTTTTAAATTTTTTTAACGTTTTTTTATTTATTTTTGAGACAGAGAGAGACAGAGCATGAATGGGGGAGGGGCAGAGAGAGAAGGAGACACAGAATCAGAAGCAGGCTCCAGGCTCTGAGCCATCAGCCCAGAGAACGACGCGGGGCTCGAACTCACCGACTGTGAGATCGTGACCTGAGCCGAAGTCGGATGCCCAACCGCCTGAGCCACCCAGGTGCCCCTAAGAACATATATTTTAAAATTATATATGTGCATATATAGTTATATATACATATGTATATAAACAACACATTCATACATGTAATGTAGAAGAGAATTTGTTCATGAGAAATTTCCCGTGATAAATTTTGAAGAAAAGTGGTCAGAGCAAAAGGCAAGAGCTTGTACTTCTGTTGACCTTTGTGTGTTTTCTTCCAATAGCATCAGAGGCTGTCCACAGGTCTTGGAGGGTACAGCAATTATGAAGGAGCCTGGGGCTACCATGAAGGCAGCAGTAGGTGTTCTGGCCTCCCCTCCTAGCAAAGAAAGCTTCATGGCAGGCACGGGACAGAAGGGACAGGAAGGGGGAAGGGGCCATGGAGGACAAGTATAATACAGCAGTGAGAATCAGGAGTACCTCAGTGAGCAGGGCCAGTGTTCATTCAGCCACTCCTAAGAACATGGAAATTTAGGCAGAGGGAACAAGGTCTAGAGAGGATTTCTGGGAATCTGATTAGTTTAACACCCTTAGCGAGACCTTTTAAAAATTCCTAGGGTAAAGATGCATATTATTCAGATCGATCAGGCGATGTGACAGCGGAAGGGGGACACGGGACACGTTAAGGCACAGACCATGGAACTCAGTTTCCTGGGCTTAAATTCTTACCGGCTTTGTGATGTTACTCAAGTTACTCTCTTTTTCTGTGCGTTACTGTCCTCATTTGTAAAATGGGAATAATAATACTACCTACCTCATAGGGGTAGTATTTCCCAATGATTAATGACTTTTCACATGGAAAGCTCTCAGAACAATGTCTGGCACACAATAAATGTCATCACAATAAACATTAACACCATTGAAAGCATCCATGTCCGTCTGTGTTCTCTTTCAACGTGACTCAATATACAGACTGGGCCATTTGGAACATCAGATCTTACTAGGATTATGTGTGTGTGTATATGTATAAATATATATGTAATAATACGATATCTATGCTAATACCCTTCACATTCTGTTCAATTAATGTTAACTAGTGTTCTTTTCTGTTTAATGTTTAAAAGATGCTATCGTTTCAGATTCATTTGTTATGCTCTTGGGAATATTATCTATTTCGAGCTTAGGCCAAGTCATTTTAAGGTGAGTGCCTTTGGATCAGAAGTCATTTGTAAGCAGGGTGACTTACTTTTAGAATGAAGCCTTTGCTGGCCCCAGGCATCTGCTATTGTCAATCTGAGGAAGGGATTTTGTCCTTTTTCTTTTTTCTTCCTTTCTTCTGGTATGTTGGAGCCTGTACACCTAATACCCGGCCTGGCACCGACAGGATGCTCAGAACATGTGTTATTAAAAGAATGATTGAGTAAATTATTGATAAATAAATAAATGGCTGGACCTCGTTCAGCTAAAAACATGCATTTGCACAATTTCATAATGTCACACAGATGACCCCAACATCACCAGCCTGTTGCTACAAAATAAAGTCGCTTACTTTATTAATCAATGTATGGTTGATGAAGTCATAACCACTTTATTCTGGAAACTAGGCCCTTCACAGCACCACCCCCCACCCCACCCAGTTATTTCTGTGACTCTCCTAAGGGACCCTCCCTGTGTCCACATGGCAGCCTGGCAGCTTTACTCCTCGATGGCATCTTCCCCATGCTCCCCATCCATCTTCCCATGGCCAGGGCCCTTGAAGACTATCAGAGAAGCATTACCATTGCCAACAGATGCCAACATCCGTGCTAGGTGGGTGACCCCGGCTTCTTTCAAAGCTTCCAGGCTTCAGAGTAGCAGAATTGCAGAAATCCTTATAGAAGCAGGAGACTCTGGCTGTGCCCCAGCTCTTGCCACATTTTACCAGCTGGGTTCTGAGGGACAGCTGTTCAGTACAGAGTCCCCCGGGTTCTCTTAGGGACAGTCTCATCAGTTCCTAACTCCTTCAGAACGCAGATGCTCAGCTGCACAGGTCACAGAGCTATTGCGTCTGCCCTGCCATCCTCCACTTCTCTCCCAGTCCACTCTCCTCTCCTCTCCTAGTGTGGAGGAGAGGCTCCCATGCCTAGCAGTGGGCAGAAGCAACCTGGGGGTAAGCATGCGCAGGAGTCCTCGCCTCCAGGATATGGTGTTCTAGCATGTGGACATCCTCCAACGTCCTCTAGTACCTCTAGGACAGAGTCTATCTTCTGAGCTCGTATCAGCGCATACAAAGCTGGTGCGAGGTGCTTTACATAGATTAGGCCTTGTCAACTTCATAGCAATCACTTTTCACACCATGTATTGATGAGGGAAGTGAGGCCCAGGGAGGCTTCGTCTCTTGCCCAAAGTCACACTTAAGCGGCAGAGCCAGGATTCAGACTCAGGGCTGTCAGATTGTAAAGCGCCATGTTATTTCATACAATTAAAAAGTCTGACCTCAACCATAGGAAAAACACACGCTGTTCTGAAGATTCCTTGGAGACACATCTGCTGAACGTCCACTCAGTTTTTTAGGACCCAGAAGTGGGAAGGCCTGCTTAATCTGTCACCCCTTGCCTCCCAGTTCATTAGCTGGAGGCTTAAAATCGTGCCGGCTTGTAGTCCAGGTCTGTCCCCTGTGGCTGGACAGGCAATCCCTCAGCCCCCATCACTCCCTAATGCAGTAGAACTTGGCCCAGCTCACTCCCACTGGCTGGGGGTCACTTCCAGTATCTCCACATTTGCTGGAACCTTAGGTTTAGCCACACCTTCCTATTCATTCTCAGTATGGCTCTTGCCAGCAACTAGGTACTTTCCCCATACTTCCCAGTGCAGGAGGTTGCCCACAGGTGCAGTTTCCAAGACTGTCTCTACCTTGGTTCAAGCTTTGGATTTGTCCAGGAGCCCATGGCCTCCCAGAGCCTGAATGCTGGCCTGACTTTCTAGCCCAGAGGCTTTCCTGACTGCTGTCCCAGAGACTACACTTCTTCCCAGGCCTTCACGTCCACACCAGGCCCAATCCCTGCCTTCTCTGGACTGGAATGAGGGATAAATTAGTTCTAGCTCCAGAGCCCATTCCTTTCCAAGCAGCCCTGCTGGAGCTTTTGCTGCTCAGGACAAAAGCCCATTCCAGGCCCACGATGGGGCATGATTAGATAGACAAACCCTGTAAATGTATTACCACTAGAGGTATATGCATGGCCATTTGGACAAACTTTTGCAGCCCCCCCAGAGAGTCAGATCTGAGGGTTAGAGGCTGGATGGATTCACCCACTGAAGGAGCCAGGAGGCAGGCCGAGCTTGGCTGCCAGGGAGACTGGTCTCTATGAGTCAGCTAATGTCTATGTAAGCAGGGAACAGGAGGTCAGCTGGGCCCTTGCTTAACAGACTTTATTCACCATTTACAAAAGAGGTTGATTGCATGCAAAATGTAAAGATGGTGTATTCCCTGTGGAGAGAAAACATAAGCCAGCACAGCCCTCTTCTGAAATACAGGCTGCAAAATGCCTATTGGTTC